GCATCTATCGTATTTTTGTTTGGTTTTTATTTGTTTATTAAAGTCGTGTTTGATGAACGTTTCTCATTTCTGATTATGGTGTTACTTTTTTTTATTATCTATAACTGAGTATGTTGTTATTTGTTTGTGGTTGTATCTTCTTCTCCTCCCTCGTCGTAGTTGAATGCTATTTTATGATGGTAAACAGCTTCTGTTTTGTTGTAAACTTATTGTTTGTCTTGAGATAAGCTCGAAAGGGGCGGAATTTTTACCACAAGTGTGGTAGTGACGTGTTGGAGATAACACTTCTCCTCATCTAAACGTCAGTTGAATGTTAACAGGTATCAGGGAAAAGCAGTAAATTCATTTCTATCCGCTAAGGTGATTATGCGCTGTATGTGGTATGTGGATAAATAATAACAGTTAAGATTTTTTAACTAAAAAATTTGCAATGGATAAAACTATCGGACGATGAAAGCTCAGATACCCGGAGACTTCGATTCGATATATTCAAAATCTCCTCAGAGACAACAGATGCTACTTACGTTGCCTTTTATCCAGGGTAGGTTGGTATTGAAAATGGGTGAAATCGTAAAGGTAACAACGCCCGCCTCCCATATATCGGTGTTTTCAAAGGATCTAAAAACAACGATATTTCCTAAAAAACTGATACCATTTGTCTAAAATTAGTATGTGAATTTGAAGTTCGCACAAAACAAGTAAATTAGAAAATTTTTGCAAAATGGAAGTGACCCCGCCCATTTATGAAAAATTGCTGTAGCTGCTTCACCAACCCTCGCCAACTCGGTATGAACATTGTTTAGAGTGAAACTAAGAAACCCGTTGAAAGTCTCCAAAGTCGGACATTAACCACGCCCACCTCCCACATAACAGTAATTTACAGAAATACGACAACTGGAGCAAATCAATAACAAAAAAGCTACTGCACTCAAAATCGAAGTTTGCAATAATCTCTTAGCAATAAATGAGAACTATGCCAAAGTTTTGGAAAACGACATATGTACATATAATATGTGCGCCGAACGTAAACTTTCGCCGGAACTTAAACTTTTTTTTATTATTTTTTAATGCATTGGATATATCGAACAATAAGCCTCAGCTCACTTCTCCTAAAAGACATTGAGAAAATCGTTGATCAATGCATAAGAGAAGTCAATCTAAGTAAACTGCCCCTTAGCAAAAACCAATTTGCCTATCAGCCAGTAAAATTAACTGCCCACTCGTAGCCCGACTTCAAAAACGGAAAAGGCGCTGAAGTCAAAACATATACTTAGCCCTATGAGCCTTTATTGACACTTCGGGGCGATAAGAAAATGCGATCACAAGCAAGGGTGTAAGCTCAAACATCAAGAAATGGATGCCAAATATCCATGCTGAAAGATGAAAAATCAGTGAAAAGTTAGGAAGGTAACCACACCGGATGCCCTCAAGGAAGAGTACCTTTTACAACGCTTTTATCAACTTGCAATGCTTTATGTTCCCTCTTCTGGTTATAGATGAAAGCTATGCTAAGAAAATTGCTGATTTGAATGATGAAGCAGGTTGACATTGATATGAAACTAAAATTATATCCATACATACAAGGACTATCTACGAAGATAAGTTGTTCTTCATACTCAAATGGCTGATTTATTTAAAACCTGGCCCAACAGTTTACCATATCCTGCGGTATAATTTTGTATCCCAGAACTCACAGAAAAGGGAAATATTGGGAAGGGTTCTATTTACATAACCATCTGAGTAAGAGCATTAGATACAACAGATTGAGGAGCAGCTGCAGAATTTAATATCATAACGTTAAAACGTTTGGTTTTTAACAACCAAATAATGCGGTGTTGCTGCCACATTCGTTTTAAAATAAATAATTCTTCCTTTTTTGAAGATATTAATTTCTTTGATAGCCAAGATAAATGGTTCTCTGTAGTATGTAGATATGTACACACAATGTTGCCGTAGAGAATTTTCAAAACGCCCCAAAAAAAAAGTCCTTTAAAAATTTTAAGTAATGCATTTTTCAGTATTTACAGGAGGAAATATTTTTTAACCGTTAATCGAGCTTTGTATCAAAAATGATAACATTTTCTTTTATATCTTATCATAACATCTTTAAAAAAAAATTGAGTGCTGCATTCTTCGCGACTATGTTTATTTTGTTATTGCTGGTATTTTTAAACATATTTTCAAAAAATTTTGCAAGTAGGCCATGAGAAATTCAAAAACTTCATAATTCGAGCTATGTATCATTATTGATACATATGGCAATTCAAACGTTTTTTTGCTGCGGTGCACGTCATTCGCTACGCGATTTTTGGTATTTGTGGTGTGTTTTTATTTCTTGGGGTGCTTTTTTGAAGATTCATTTATTTTGTCACATAATTGTGTGTATTCAAAATCATGTCGCGTCCACGGTTTTTGACCTTTGAGGAACTAGTGAATGAAGTACTGGATGAGAGTGAAGAGGATGAAGATGTTTCCGATCCTGAAACTGAAATTGAAAGCAGTTCGTCTGAAAGCTGCTTACCTGAACCGGATGACATTATTGGCAGTACTTCAGAATCTGATCCAATGTATATAGCAAAAGATGGTACTACTTGGCGTAGCGAGCCTTACGCCACTGGTCGATTGGGGAGAGAAAATATCATAAATTTACGCCCAGGTTAGTAGTAATTGTTTATTGAAGTGTCATAGAATTAAGATTACTGGGCTTTAGGTGTAACAAGATTTGCATCCAGCCGGGTGAACAATATTCGGGATTCATTCCTACTACTTTTTCCGCCGTCACTATCAAAAATTGTAATTGATAACTCAAACAACTACGGAAAGTATATACATGGGTCTAACCATATCGAAATTTACGAGGATTTATTTCATGCCTACTTGGCCGTATTATTGCTGGCCGGTGTATATAAGTAAGTTTAACAACAGAAAAGTTTAAAAAAAATATAAACTTATAACTACTATATGTGGACGGCCAATATTTCGGTCAATTATGTCTGAGAAAACATTTTTATATATCCACAAA